TGAAGAAAGGTGAAATCATGAAATTTTCAGGTAAATAGTTGGAACTAGAAACTGTCATACTAAGTGAAGTAACACAGACTCAGAAAAAAAAATTGATACATGTTCTCCCTCATATGTAGATCCTAGAACCAGACTCTGACAAATAAGTATGCAACCAGACATAACTACAGGAACCAGGTTAATGGAAAGGAAACAGGGATGTAAAGGAAAAGAAAGAAGCTGAAAGAGGAGAACAGTAGGAAACAGGCCTTAATAAGGGAGATATGGATAAAAAGGGGGTTAGTTTAGGGGGGGGGGGAGGGAAGGGTATACAAGGATCCTAGGGGATAAAGGGAAAGAAGGAGCTCAAGGAGGTAGGACCATAGGAGCAGGGTATTATTAAGGGAGAAGGGGGAAATGGAGGCACCTTAAGTGGGAAAACCATGATGGGGGGGGGAATGGGGGCACCTTAAGTGGGAAAACCATGATGGAGGGGTGAGACAATGCAAGAGATAAACAATGCCTAGATAGTTTTGAAAACCAGAGGGAACCATATTACTCCTACAATGTACTGACCAATTATACATAGCAGATCAAGAAATAAATGTCTAGGTAAGGTTTATCTGAGAACAACTGATCTTTGCCCAAGATTTATCTACATGACACACAGTAATTAAAATTACCAGACTGGTGGAACTAACCTTCTTGGGTGTTGAAGAGTCATACTTTGAAGCCTATAATAATTTGTTCAGAGGGACACAAAGGACACTTTTTGCTCCTTGCCCTCTTAGGTTGACTAGTTCCAGGGGACTATGAGCATCTCTCAAATGTCCTATAATGGCGGTGGGTCACCTGTCCTCTTGATCAAGGAGACCGAGGAGACCCCACCAGATGGACTTGAACCAGTGTCCCGTCTACAAAGAGGAGGGTCAACACAGAGCAACCATTTCCTCCATGCTTCCAAGTGATGGGGCGAGCTGGACCTTTGACTTATCTTCACATAGGCAGAACTGGTAAAAGAAAGGAGCCAGGGGCTCCTCCTAAGCCCATGTGACTCCTGAGGAACAGATCCTCAAACGACCTTAAGAGTAAAAATAAATTGGTTTATCTGGTACAATTGTATAGCTTTAAACACCCAAAAGTAAAGTATAACCAAAGATTAAAGGGCCCAATATAATTTCTTAAGACTCCATATGCATAGCTAAAGGCTACATAACAAGCAACAATGCCAGACAGGCGATACCTTCTTTTGAGTTGTTGGCCAGAGTGGCCAAAGGGACTCCCAGATAGTTACCTAGCATAGAACTGGGAAAATCAAAGCAGACCCCAATCTAATCTAAGGAATATTGACAACTGATTACTGCTAGATGATGAACAGCTGACCCTCCTAAAACAAAGACCTCTAGATAGGCTGACTAGATTCACCAGAAGGGCAAGTAGTGGGGAATGGCTGGGGGTGCCGACAA